GTAAAGACCTGAGGGAGGAAAACATTGACACAGATCAGACTGACAAGGAAGACAATAAACAGAGAGACGATGGAAATGGATATAATGACGTCACCGATAGGAAAAGGGATTATGGAAGAGGCGGGAGATACTATGGAGATGAAAACTTTTACGGCTATTAGTAAGAACCTACTGAAACTGGGTTGTAATTAGAATAAGGGTGAATATTTCCTTGGTTATGGTTTAAAGCAGCTTTGAACAATTGTATATATTTATCTGTGATTAATTTGTGAAGACATGCAAGACAGTGTTTAATTATAATATCCATGTTATTGCCATTTAGATATAGGGATATACTTTAGGCAACTCTTCATATAAACAAAAATATTTCAACAATAGTGATTGCCACTTGCCATGTGCAACTTAAGAATCATTGTGTCCAAGACGGAGTTTTCTATTTTCGTTCCCATTTTTTTTCTTCCGAAGCTCCGGCAAATATGAAGAAGGCTTCTATGTCCTTTGGCACATTTTTTCTCAGAATTGTGTTGGAACTATGGTTTCTTATAAAGAAATGCTGCACATTCAGTTGCTTAATTAAGAAAAACATACCATTGTCGCAAACCACGGCCACGATGTACGATTCTCTCCCATTCTGGCCCAGAAGAGAAATATGAGCGGTCTCTTGACTGTGCAAAAAAAGTACTTTTTCATATTTAGTGATATTTAATGTTTACAATAGAACTTGTTTGCTTTTTTTGTTTCACGTATTAGTATAAGTATTAGTACCTATAATACTACAAGGATCTTAATTAACAAATAATCTTTACCAAAATTTAGGTTTTTCATTTTGATCGTGAACACTGTTTTATTAGAAAAAAAGAAATTTCTTGAAGAAAAAAAAAATTTTAAATAGAATTTATCGGTTTACAGGCCTTACATAAATTATTTCACAAAAACTCTGTACTAGTTTAGCACATTTGTTTACTATTAAGAAGGCCAAGACTGTGATTTATACATTGTTTAAAATCATATCTTGTGGCAACACATAATGTTTTCTTTCATCTCAAGAAATATGGCTTTTCTAGTTAATATAGGAATTATAAGAAGACATCGCGATGACCATAATTTTTTTTTTTAAATAAAGATAGTGTCCGTCTCGGTCATGATTTCCTAGAAAGTCCTAGAACGGCACTCATAAATTATTTACATTTTACATTTATGAACAAAGTTATGTTTTTTTTTTCTTTTCAAATGTACAATTCACCTTCTATTAAATATCTCTTTTGTTCACATTATCGATTCCAGTTTTAACCTTTTGCTATGAAACGAATACTTTTTGAAGAGACAAGGTCTTTTTCTACAAAGACAAATCAAAATGCCACATACTTCAAGAATGGAAAGAATTTGTTAGCTTAAAGAAGTATTAAAGCGAAATGTTTCAAATGATAGACGTACATGTAACCTTTTATTTTTCATATTCAGTCCAATCAATAAAATTTGCTTAAAAACCTACACACACTGATTTAGATTTCATCAAGAAGTATTTTTTAAAGATATCAACAATCCAATAGTTTTGTAATTAAGAAAAATAAGCATAGCCTATTGTATTTACATGTAAAAATCATTTATTATTTTTCCATAAATATTAACATCGTATTTGTATGTTATTATATTTTAAAATGACAAACTATTGTTCCAGAACAATAAACAAAGTTATAAAAAAAAAATCTTGGTCAAAAAAAAAAAAAATTGTGTGTTAAAGGAGGAGGGGACAAGTGCCTTGTCTATTTTGATTGTTACAAGTCAAAGTTAAGTTGCTGAAACGTAGAGTCAGTCTTACACAAAAAATTTAATTTTGTATTAATGTCATGAAAAACTCTTGTTCATCACATTCCTAAAAATCAATACAAAATGCTGATGATGGATGTAAAGTGTCAAGAAGGGTTCTGACCAACCTCTGGTTTGTCTAATGGTCTGCGTAAATTCCAAGTAGTTTGCTATCCTTCCGTGCTAAATAAAATTATTGTGAATTTTATTCCCATTTTTTTTACATGCAATCTCAATCGCTTTCATGACAATACAAATTAACACGTAATCAATGAATTTTGATTATTATGATGAACAGAAGGTCGATTTTATAACTCCATACATTAAAAGTAGTATGGGATCTAAAGATAACTGTGTTGAATTTTGATAGCTGTCTGAAACATCCATGTTCTTGTTTTAAAATTAATTATAAGATATAAACTTTTGTGCATACAACATTAATGGCATGATAGACTAGTTAGTTTGAAGCCCTAGTGTGTAATGTTAAATTATCCTTGATCAATAATATAATTTTGTCAATATACATATATATACACTACATGAATATATCAGGAATTTGCTATCTGTAGACTACATGTAAATAATAAAAATAACTTTAAATAACACGGCAAATACCTGGTAGTTGTGCTTTCCTTGATATTATGTTTCCCCAGCAAGTTCAGGGTCACTGGCAAAAGAAATTCATTTATATTCCATTCTATATGGTTTGTGACCTGTCGACAGCGGATGCTTACTCTTCCATGGCACCTGATCCCAACTCTGATGTTTTGGAGGACCGTGTTTGCTCTGCTCATATATTGTATAGTTTTATGGACTTTTTGATCTTGAATATTGTTCGTTATCTCCATAAATTATGTTTCATTGCAATTGCTATTACAAATTATAAAGTAGAGTTAAAAACTATATTGATTTTTTATCTTTGTTGTGAAACATAGGAATAAATAAACAGTAGTCAAGATCAAAAAACTATACAGCAATATAAAATAGGAGCAGAGCACTCATGGACCTCCAAAACATCAGAGGTGGGATCAAGTGCCATGCAGGAGTAAGCATCCCCTGCCGAAGGGTTACATCCGCTGTGTGTTCTTTATCACAATCTGGAAATAATGGAAACCTCCGTCGTCCAATCAGTGAATCAATAATGGACTAAGAACTAGTATGAAAAACGATAAATTACATTTGCTGACAAGGTCATTGTGTCTACCACAGAACTTACGAAATGATGACTTCAAACGAAACGAGACGAGACTTCTAATATTCTTGTTTCAACACTTGTTTATCAATAATTTACCTCGTTTAAGGAATCTTTCATACGTAGAGCATGTTCTTGCGTATCGAATCAACTGAGCTATATAAACTCCATATGCAAGTAATGAAGGTATTGAGAAACAGTGGAATGTCATACTTGGTACAGAGCATGATTCTCAGCAGAGGTTGTAGCAAAATATTTACGAAAGTCATAAATGCAATTTCAAGATCACTGATATAAAAAGTAATTTGTTAAAGCAAATGAGCTTGTACATTAAATTTTGAATTCAAAGTTAGAATAAACATACCAAAATTTGTTTTCATATGTGCACCAAAAAACTTTAAACTTGAGATAAATTTAAGAAAACAGAACTATGGAGAATAAAAGACTTTGTTTTTCAATTTATAAACTATGTGTATTGTTCTAATTTCAAACTGTTTTGGTGTTTCTGCAAGTTCATCTGGATGAGCTCAATACCACTAATTGTATATTTCCAACTTATTTCTAATGTTTTTTTTTTTCAAGAAAATGTTTACAAACTTAGTGAATAGTTTACTGGTTACAATTATTATTTTTAATCAAAATATTGTGTTAAATAAAAAATAAATCAAAAAATAAAGAAGATTTTTCAATTTATAAACTATATGTAATACATTGTATATCTCCAAATATAATGTTGTTTACAAAATTTATAAATAGTTTACGTGTGTAAAAGATAAATAAATATGAAATCTTTATTTTAAAAAATGTACATGTAAAATACATGTATCATAGTTGGTCTTATAAAAATAGTTTTATGATTTGTAAAAGTATTATTAATGACACATTGCTATAAATAACGAACATTCATTAAAGTCAGTTGAGAATCTATATTTATTAGCTAAATATATTGTTAGCAGATATTTTTTGACATGAAAGCATCCAAAAAAAACATAGTTAGGCAGGAGAAGTAACTTGTCTTTGTTCAGTTGTAGAAAAAATAAAATTATAAAAATTTAAAGGATCACGAATTACTCATAAATAGGCACCGACACCCAAGTATATAAACCCTTTGATTTCGTAACGACCTTGAAACTTGTGGTCGACCTGTAGTATTCCTTTCATTTTCTTAGATTTTGTGCCTTTATCTTTGTTTTTTGTGTATTTTCTCTAACATAGTAAATAATTTATAATACATTGAATTGTATATTTGATTTTGCAACCAAGTAACACCTCAATATAAGGTGTATGTCCACACAGGTAAAAGCTCTACAGCAAAACACTTTGAACTGTTAGGAGGTCTTTGGCTTATATCATATACGGGTTGTAGAAATAGCGGTAATAAAAGAGAAATATGGCGGACAATCTACAACAAAATACTTTAACGGTTAGAAGGTCAGCAGATGATGCAGACGTTGTAGGCATAGCGTAATGAAAGTAAAATAAAGCAGTCAATCTACAGCAAAAATACTATGTTATAAGGTCAGCGAATTATATAGGGGTTGAAAGGATAGGGTAATAAAGATAAAATATGGCGAAAACAATGTTTTTATGACCAGTGTACAGCTTTTAGAAATAATTCTTCTTTCAACTTTGTATGTTTGGTTGACATTGATTGTTACAATCACACATGTATTACACACAATTTCAAGCATTAATTTTATTCAAAAATATGTTCATCAACTTATAAAGCATACCCGGTAGCTCATAGTTAAAGATATTCTTTAGTCAGACATGACGCTCAGTACATCAACTGGTTTTAACAAGAAAAGGATTGTTTTTTCTCTTTTTTCCCTTCTTTGGATGAAATAATTTTTATTACAGCCATATTAAGTTTAATTCCATATATATCTTATAAATTCTTTTACTGCAATGCATCCTGTTACATCAGATTGACGCAGGCATTTAAATAGAAGTTATGAAATTCGCAGTTTAAAAGTCATTACAACGAGAATCAAAATAGACGATGATATTGGAACAGCAAAACGCCGCTATGCTGTTCATTTTTGCACTTCTTCTAGGATATTTTGTAGATTTTGGTAAGATTGTTTTCTTGTTTTTTATTTATGTGTATTTTTTTTTACTTCACTACCCTCTGTTGCGTCAATGTTCTTGGACAAGGACAATTGTGTTCGTTCCTTGGGATGTATTTCTAGGGTATCTTATATACACAGAAAATTCAATGAATACTTATGTAGACAAAACACAAATTCATGCACAGGCCTTGGGTTACCAACGAACAAATCTACATTAATCTAATTTGCCACTTGTTTTGGGTATGATAAGAATTAATCAATTGAACTTTTTTTGAGAAAATTGCTTCGTTCGGAGAATTTATTTCGGAAAAAAAATTTCATCAATTATATATTAAATTTGCATGGATTTTATTCGAATAAAATTTTCACATCTCTTTTTTTATCTCCTTTCCCTTTGAGAAAACACATAACAAGCTTGATAATAAATTATTTCTGATCTAAAAATATTCTTTATCCCACAACATGTTAGTTTTGTACAAATCTTAGCTATTTTTATCACATCTTCAAAAAAGGCGTTTTTGTTTAACCTTTTAATATAGTTCATTTTGAAATAAACTATTTCAAAGCTTTGACGATCTGATAAAAAGACTGATATATAACTGAATTTCAAATCATTTAGATGATGTTTTATGTCCCCTAGTACCGAGTATAGGTCAAAACAGTTGCCCTTCAAACGGCAAATCCCAGTGTCTTCAAATGAAATTTTCGAGAGGGGGGACGTTAAACAATTAACAAACAAATATCTTTCACAGTGAATATGACAATTAAAGTTATACCTTTGTGTTGCATCAACATTTTTGTTGTCTTCCAAAACCATATTCTCTTCAATTTGTACAACCACATCTTGTTTTTAGATTTTAATCCATCTGAATCAATCTGTGCAGGACGAAATATAAGGCTTGATTCTCAATCTATTCAAAGCCAGGACTTCCAAATTAGTTCTTCAAATTTTTTTGAAATGAAACAAAGGTTTCGCACACTCCCTCGTTTGCTTTCATGTCTCTAGCAAAGGCCATATTTAACATTTTTTTAGCTTAATGAAAAGGCAAAGTTCTTTGCAAAGAATGCAGGGAAAACACGTAGGGAAGACACTCTTTAATTGTCATTTAAACTTTCTTTACGTATGGAGCAATACACCCTTATCACATGCATAGGGAGTTAGTTCTGTCTTTTTGCTTTGATATTTTACGTACAAACAATGTCTTAAATGAAGCAAGATATTGACAAACAAGTTGATAAACAAGGATATAAACATTCGTGTTTGAAGTCATCAATTCGCAAGTTTTATGGTTAATAGAATTTCCTTGACTGCAATACAGTTTATCAGTAAGTCAAATGTTCTGTGACGCTTTTCATAATGACGGTTAGGCCATTATTTACATACTGAATTGTCTTTGGATCGACCGATGACTATATAACTTACTAGACTCGTACTAGTTCCATTAAAAAACAATGGAGGTTCTAAGATGCCAGAAAGATGTTGATATGCTAATATGTTTCAAAATGAAAAACTTTTGTTTTTTACTTATTTTATTTATAGGAAATGCGGGAAAGGCAGTTTGTACGAGGCCTGCCGCTCCAACTACTCTAAATTTTCCAGAGGACTTAACTGTTGGTACCATACTGTATAGTTACTCTGGAACAGACAGTGATGGAGATACTGTTTACTACTTTACATATGGAGGTGCAAAGGCACCCTTCTCTTTGCAAGGAAGAGATCTATCATTAATTTCTGCCCTGGACTTCGAAAATCCTACATCTTTGTATATAGTGGACACTGTTGGGTACACTTATAAAATTCCTATTTTAAGAAAATTCTTTTAAGAATAGTTTCTTAATTCTACTTTAGTTATGTAGAGGTTTTATTTAATTTGAAATTGAAATTTAAGCTTTACATAATAAATCGGAATATTTATTAATTTCATGTTTCTGACCTAGAGTGCGGGATAGGTTCACCAGCTACGTTGATGCTACTTTTTGTCCAGCACTAGTTATCAATGTACTTCCTGTCAATGAGTATGACCCGATCCTCACTCCAACGTCTCAGACTATCACCATTCCGGAAGGTGCACCACAGGGTATGTTTCCCTGTAAATACTCTCATATTGAAAGATTTATACACATTTTATTATTAATAGCAAGGTACCATTAATGAAGAACTGATATAATTGTGTAAATAGAACAATTATTCGCAAAACTATACATTATAATAATTTTGCTGTACCCTTGACTTTTTTTTTATATATAAGTACAAGCAGTAAATACACGTGTTTAAAAACACTTGTACTAAACGTTAATTGAAAGACTTTTAAAGAAACATCGGAATTGGCTTCACATTTTCAATTATATACATAAACACTGTAATAAGTTTTTAAAAATTTGTCTACCAATGCTTTTAGATTTATACGTGGCTGAGTTTGCATGCAGTGACCAGGACAAGGAGTCTGTTGGAGATCCTGACGGATGTTCTATAATATCTATTGAGTCGGGAGATGATGCTAAACCGAATTTTAAACTGACTTCGAACACAGTTAATGGTACAGTTTTTAATGGTACAATATCTACAACTAACAACGTCATTGATTACGACACTGGTGACGTCAGATACACACTTTTTGTGATTGGTGTTGATAGTTCGACAAGAGATGCTCGTAGGACCGGAACCATGACGGTTACAGTTAACATTCAACCAGTTAACGAGTACACCCCGACCATACACAACCAACCACTAGGAACAATTGTGAGATATAATATATATTCTAATTTATCTATATTCTTTTTTCATAATATATACTAGAGGGAGCTACTTTGTTTTCATGTGAAAGATATGGAGAACACGAACAGCATGTTTTTACATTTCAAAATTTATTAAATGTCACTCTCTACCCAACTTGGAACATGACATCTGATGATTAAAGTGTTAAAATTTCTATGAATTATACAAATGCAGAATTATCTTTTAAAACCTTCATGTTTTAATCTGGAAATATTCGAAGTCTACAAATCTATTCAGTTAAGTGAGACATATTAAATTTTGGATATGAGGCTAGTTTGGCACAATCACAATTGTATATTAAGAATGGTCTTTGATCACAAGAAAAAAGTAGTACACAGCAAACAGGTAAAAGATGACATCTTATTTTTGCAAGATACGTTTTGATATTTAAAACTAAAAGATATGCAATGTTTTTGGGACAAATTATTGGTTTTGTTTACGTAATATAAACTAAACCAAATATTTTAAGTGATAATAATTTTTTGTGAGTTGACACTCTCGTGTAAATGCAAGAAAATAAAATTCTGGCAAACATAACGAGCTTCCCAGTATAGTTTAAGCACATTCTTGAGCTTACATATGCCATATGCATTTATATGAATTTGATTTAAAATGCTTTGTTAATTAAGTGTATTTTTATTCCTTGACTGAAGAGACCTAATAATTTGACATGTATAAGAAGTCCCCTTGCTTTATGATTAGTAAAGACAAGGTTATTATAAGATATAAAAGGTAAAATATTATTACTTCAATTGATTTTTTAAAAAAATATATTTTTTATCAAAAACTCATGGTTCTATATTTTCAGTTTTGATGCAAGTTAATTTGCATTTCATATCTAAATCTGTTTAATATCAATTTTAAAAATGAATGATAATTATCTATAAAAAGATCTCAAAGTGCGGTATATATACATGTAAATATCCAGTGAGTTTGTCACAAATATTCTATTTTTCATATAGGAAAGTTAAAGTCATCACGTTTATCATAAAGCTCGGTTGTTAGATTACCATTAACGCCCTTTTCAAGTAAAATATCCAAGAATGAAACAGATGTGTCAGACTCTGTGGTATTTTTTATCTCAAACTCACCAGGATATATCGTATCGTATGGAAATTACTATTGTTAAAACCACCCTTAAGATTACATATAACAGTAATTTAGCAAATGGTTTTTTAAAACAACAATTATTCTTAGGTTGGATATCTGATTTTACCCTCTTCTTACAAGGGTCTGATAGTTACTAGTATTGTATATTTAAAGCAACCCAAAATATCTGATCAGAACTCTTTCATAAATTAGGATAAATAAAGATCAAATCTTTGAATAAAATATAAAGGTTTCAAATAACATGAATAATGGGGAAAGTTTTTTCCTATATTAGTACTGTCTAAATCTCGGTGTTTAAAAATCAAATTTTGAATAACCTCAACCAAAAATTGAAAACCAGTAATATTGAATAAAATTCAATTCAACTTATTGACATCAACATAATGCTAAACACTCAAATTAAGAAATCAAATGAAAAACAACAAAAAAAAAAAGGAAAGATCAAAATATATCAACGTTAGCATGCAATACAATTTTTCACGTTTTTTTTTAAACCAATGCGAGTTTACGTCCATCAATTTTAATATTATCTTTACATATGGTCAATAAATTTGTAGATTAACCCCTTACATGGTATATACGCATTTCTACGCATCTGATTTGAAACACGAGTATAGTGTGAAAAAACATTCATAACTTCGTAAAAAATGCAAATATCAGAATAAATCTTGCACCGTTGGAAAGAAAAAATAATTACGGTAAAATAATAAACAGAAATTTTTTTTATTGGTTGTACCAGTTTTTTGCTAGCTTAAGTAAAACTTTGCTCACTATTTGGACGATTTTGTCATTATCAAAATCAATGCGGGGGTAACACGTTATAGTCTGGTCCTGATTTTTAAAAAGAAGGCTAAAAATAACTTCTAACGGCAAATAATTATTATTTGGTCCAGCATAGTTTTTTAGCCTAATTCGAGTATGCTGATTCCGAAAAAATATGCTGGCCTTCATGAAAATGGCATTGAAGAGGTCAAAATGGCGATTCAAAATAGCGGACATCCATTTTTTTCAATTTTCTCTTAATGTCGTTCAAAATGGAAAAGGTCGCGTGTGGATATCTCACTGAGTGAAATACAAGTATAAAATGATAATAGAATGCTAATATTATTAGTTTAACTCAGAAAATTTAGTCGTTTCTACACTTAATTCGAATTTTCTTTGATTTATTTGTCTGTTGCTTCTATATTCTGCTTTGTTCGGGATTTTACATTTGCAAACATCCATACACTGCAGATTTGTATTTTTCCCTCTACATCTCACTTTTCTACAGTTGAACAATATGTTGAATGTTGTTGCAGCTGTAAGTCAAAATGGCGATTCAAAATGGCGGATATTCATATTTTTTCAAATTATTTCTTAATGTCGTTTAAATAGGAGAAATGATTTGTGAATATCAAACTGAGCATAGTACAACTATATAAAATGACAATAGAACACTAATATTATCACATTAATTCGGAAATTTAGTCGTTGAAATTTGAAATGTGTTAATTAGCTAAAAATGGCAATTCAAAATGACGTCATATACACTCGAATTTCGTAAAATACTAGTACTTAAACTGCTTAATTCTGAGTTCTGCAGAAAATAAATTAATGGAGGTTTTTTATTAATGAAATAATGATCAAATATGCATTGGAGGTTTGAGGATACTTTTGTAAATGACTTAAGATTTTGATGACACGGATTTTTGTTTAATTACTTCTATTATTAAGATAAACTTTTGACGACAATTCGGGAGACATTTTACCTATTACCTATCTCACTATGCTTCTTCATATAAAAAGTTAATAGTATCATACAATAATTGCTGTTTAGAGGACAATATGAAAATTAAACTACCCCGAGGGCAGTATTCCCCGAGTATTATGGCGAGTGAACATTGTAGTTCGAGGGTTGCTAAATCATATCAGTTGTTGGAAATTCTTGATCTATTTTTAGTTCACCTGAGCCGAAGGCTCAAGTGAGCTTTTCTGATCACATTTTGTCCGGCGTCCGTCTGTCTGTCCGTCTGTCTGTCTGTCTGTCTGTCTGTCTGTCCGTCTGTCTGTCTGTCTGTAAACTTTTCACATTTTCGACTTCTTCTCAAGAACCGCTGGGCCAATTTCAACCAAACTTGGTACAAAGTATCCTTGGGGGAAGGGGATTCAAGTTTGTTCAAATGAAGGGCCACGCCCTCATTCAAGGGGAGATAATTGGGAATTAATGAAAATTTGGTGGCATATTTTAAAAATCTTCTCAAGAACCACTGTGCCAGGAAAGATGAAACTTATGGGGAAACATCCTCAGGTAGTGTAGATTCAATTTTGTTCAAATCATGACCCCCGGGGGTAGGACGGGGCCAAAATGGCCGACCAAAGTTTAACATAGAAATATATAGGAAAATTCTTTAAAAATCTTCTTCTCAAGAATGACAAAGCCATAATTCATCATATTTATATGGGAGCATGCTCAGGTAGTGTAGATTCAAGTTTGTTCAAATCATGTCCCCCGGGGGTAGGGCTGGGCCAAAATGGCCGACCAAAGTTTTACATAGAAATATATAGGAAAATTCTTTAAAAATCTTCTTCTCAAGAATGACCAAGCCATAATTCATCATATTTACATGGAAGCATGTTCAGGTAGTGTAGATTCATGTTTGTTCAAATCATGACCCCCGGGGGTAGGGCGGGGCCAAAATGGCCAACCAAAGTTTTACATAGAAATATATAGGAAAATTCTTTAAAAATCTTCTTCTCAAGAATGACAAAGCCATAATTCATCATATTTATATGGGAGCATGCTCAGGTAGTGTAGATTCAAGTTTGTTAAAATCATGACCCCTGGGGCTAGGGTCGGGGCCAAAATGGCCGACCAAAATTTTACATAGAAATATATAGGAAAATTCTTTAAAAATCTTCTTCTCAAGAATGACAAAGCCATAATTCATCATATTTACATGGAAGCATGTTCAGGTAGTGTAGATTCAAGTTTGTTCAAATCATGACCCCTGGGGGTAGGGCGGGGCCAAAATGGCCAACAAAAGTTTTACATAGAAATATATAGGAAAATTCTTTAAAAATCTTCTTCTCAAGAAGGACAAAGCCATAATTCATCATATATATATATGGAAGCATGCTCAGGTAGTGTACGTAGTTTCAAGTTTGTTCAAATCCTGACCCCCCGGGGTAGGGCGGGGCCAAAATGGCCGACCAAAATTTAACATAGAAATATATAGGAAAATTCTTTAAAAATCTTCTTCTCAAGAATGACAAAGCCATAATTCATCAAATTTATATGGGAGCATGCTCAGGTAGTGTAGATTCAAGTTTGTTCAAATCATGACCCCTAGGGGTAGGGCGGGGCCAAAATGGCTGACAAAGTTTTACATAGAAAGAGGAAATATCTTTAAACATCTTCTTCTCAAGAATGACAAAGCCATAATTCATCATATTTTTATGGAAGCATGCTCAAGTAGTGTAGATTCAATTTTGTTCAAATCATGACCCCATGGGGTAGGGCGGGGTCAAAATGGCTGACCAAATTTTTTAAAGATATATATAGGAAAATTCTTTAAAAATCATTTTCTAAAAATAGCAAATCCATGATTTGTCATGGGACTACTTTAGGATTTAAACTTTACAATAGAAAGCCATTTTCTACTATTTCCTACCCTTAGTGCTCAGGTGAGCGATGTGGCCCATGGGCCTCTTGTACATAGAAATATATAGGAAAATTCTTTAAAAATCTTCTTCTCAAGAATAGCAAAGCTATAATTGATCATATTTTTATGGAAGCATCCTCAGGTAGTGTAGATTCAAATTTGTTCAAATCATGACCCCCAGGGGTAGGGCGGGGGCCAAAATGGCCGACCAAA